CCCTGACCTCTTGTAGCTGTGCTGGTCACTTGGTAGGGTAAGGTAGAACCTTGCAAGTGAACAGTACTGACATTCAAGGTGTCCCTTCCTGCCCTTTGTTTTACAGGTATGTACTCATTTCCATGATTCTATACTACATAATCAATTAATAAAAATGTAATGAAGATGTTGAACTTGTTAAAGTTTCATGCAGTTTCTTGAGTAGATAACATGTATATTGTTGATGGATTTCTGCTTGCGATATCAAGTTCTTTTTTATGGTTTATCACATTGCCCTAAGAATTCCTTCATCTTCTTTAGACTGTACTTTAGTGAACTTTGCTGGAAACTTGGAAAAGTTGAGCATAGCTAAGACCGTGATGACACTAATTCTCATCACAGTGTAACTTGAGTAGTACACATGAACCAGAGTGAGGATGTTCCTTTTGATTAGACCTGTGAAATACAAGTTATTTGACAAAAGTGATTGGATTGCTAGAAAGTTCAGAATGTATAGAATAGTGTGGCGGGACAACTGACACCTTTTTGTGGCGGACCAGTAGACTGGCCTGATCGGAGATAGAATTGACCTGGCCTAACCCCACAAATATATTTATTTAACCTTTACACAAGAATCCAAACGCAAGGGGGGATATCAGTTAACGAAAGGTGGACTATGCCTTAGGGGCTGTTTGTTTGGTGGAAGTTTACCACCGCTCTGTGATTAGGTAATTGATCCCAATGTCAATAAAGATTACAATTAATGTCAATACAAGTGACACAGGAATGACTAAATCTCACGGTGACCAGTGATTACTAAGGCAATATTATGATTGGTTTATTCATGGGGGAAGGACACAGAAGGAGTTGTAACTCAGGCACTTCAAAGCGTCCAATGATGGTTGCCGCCGAGTCTGACGAATAATACTGTAACGCAATGCATAGCTCACTGGTGCGCTTTCAAGCGTTTGTTGCTTAGCAACGTTGTGCGCGCTGGCATGTATATAAGCGACCGTATGCTAAGAGTCGCTCTCTTCCTGCTGTGACAGTCACCGTATTGAGTTGAAAAGCAACTTCCTGCTGCAGCTGCCACCAAGTGCAGTGAGAGGTTCTGATCAGACATAAAGTGTACTTTTTAATCGTCCAGTCAATTACATTTATTTAAGTAGTCGCAGTAGGGGAGCCTCACACTTTGTGTGAGCTTGATTTGTGATTGTTAATAAATCCTGGCACCTATAATTTTGATCAGTGAATAGTCCTGCACGTAGGTGAAGCACTGTGCGCCTATAGGAGAATAAAGCATCAAAGCAAAGGGTAGGCACAAACTGGTGTCCGCCCCCCCATTTCTTCCCCCGTCTGTTAGTCCCGTGTGGTGCGAGGGTGTGTGAGTGTGTTTTGGCAGTGGTGAGCTACGGGCCTGGCGGTAGACTTCCGCCAAAACGGATCTGCATCTCGGGCCGTGGAGGTCAGGCCGCTCACCGCTATCGGTCGAGACCGACCCGGGCAGTCGTCAGAGGTTAGTACCGCTACAAATTTGGTGTCAGAAGTGGGATAGGCATCATCTACCAGGGAATCTTCACCTACATACAATCATCATGGCAACTGCCGATCAACTGACCATAGAAGACGAGCTCATGCCGCTGCGGATAGACATGCAGAAGGGCGAGGACGAATTGCAACAATCCCTTGCTGAGAACCGTGACTTGAAAGAAGTCAAGGAGCTGCTGGTGGCGCAGAATAGCCTGTTGAAACTGCAACTTCATTAGGCGCAGACCAGTTTAGTGACAGCACAACAGAGAGCAGGGAAGACAATAAACACGTCGATGACAACAGAGTTCTACTGGGTCGGCATGGCGGCTGAAGTTAGGTCAGTCATTAGGCGATGTGTTGAGTGTGCTAAGAGGAAATCCCCGACCAAGACTAGGAAGGCGCCACTGCAGCAACGGGCAGTTGGGGCACCTATGGAACGTGTCGCCTTAGATATTGTGGGACCCCTGCCTGAGACAGCAAAGAGGAACAAGTATATCTTGGTCGTGGGAGACTACCTGAGTAAATGGATGGAGGCATATCCCCTAGCTGATCAGACTGCTGAAGCTGTGGCTGAGACGTTCGTAAAAGAATTCGTATGTCGATTTAGCGTGCCAGAGGTCCTTCTTTCAGACCAGGGCAGTAATTTTGAATCCCAGGTATTTACCGAAATGTGCCATATCCTTGGCATCGATAAGGCACGGACGTGCCCATACAACCCAAAGTCCGACGGGCTGATTGAAAGATTCAATCGGACACTTGTAAACATGGTGCCAATGATGATAGAGCCTGAGAGGCGACAACGGGATTGGGATGAGAAACTCCCATTGGCCACTTTTGCTTATCGTGCAACACCACAGGAATCCACAGGCGAGTCGCCCAACATGCTTATGTTGGGACGCGAGGTGCGCCTTCCCATTGATCTAACAACTGAAGCTACAACAGATGAAAAGGAGCCAGAAGGCGTAGTTGAGACTGACTACGCAAATGAATTGCGAAGACGCCTAAGAGCTGCCCATGAAAGAGCCCGGATTTGTTTGCTGCAGAGTGCCAGAAGGCAGAAGACGTGCTATGATCGACGGACAACTTCACCTAAATTAGAGCCCGGTAACTTCGTCTGGTTACACAACCCCGCCAAGAAGAAAGGGTTATCACCTAAACTGCAATGTAGATGGGAAGGTCCCTACCTTATAATGCGCAGGTTGTTGGACGTGGTCTACAGGATCCAAAGAAGAAAGAAGGGCAAGATGAAAGTCGTCCATTGTGATAGACTGAAGCCGTACGCAGGCGAGCTAATTAAGGTGTGGACTATCGATGCACCAACAGGCGACTCATCAAGTCCAGAAGCCGTGCGTCCTGCATGTGGTGGGTCAGGGGTGTCAGAGCAGCATGCGACAAGTCCAATTTCTAACGAGGGAGGAGAACTTGAAACTCCAGTCTCACCAGAAACACCTAATCTACATGTAGAGGAAGGTGCTTAGTGCGCAGAACTGAGCCAAACAGAAGCAAATGGCAACAGGCTCACGGTACCACAACCGAGACGTAATCCTAAGAGGGACCGTAGAGTGCCTGCCAGATATTTGAGTTAGAGAGAGAGAGAGAGAGAGAGAGAGGGAGATAGGGAGGGGGAACCCCTAAATTGACCTGTCCAGCCCAATCAACCAGGAAGATCCATAGGCATCTAAAGCAAAGAGTGTGTGTCCATCTTGTGTTTTGCAGATCGAAGCGGAAGGCGTCATGAGAAATGGGGAAAGACCGGGAGGAGAGAAGTCCATCCCGTAGCCGTTCCGACGGAAAGAAGACAAAGTGCCCAGAGTGCGGCATGCTGCTGCATAAGAGAAGTCTGGAGAGACACCTGGTGGGTGAACATGGGCCTAGGTGAGTCTTCTGTTGTCGAAGGTGCTCCCATAGGAACACTAGGCGAGACAATCTGAGAGCCCACTATCATGATTGCCACCGGACGCATGTTGACGAGGTTTCAGACATCCAGAGTGAAACGCTGGAGTCCCGTGGGAGAGACAGTTGCCGAAGTGAGGGCGAGCCAAGGCGCACGGAGACGTCAAGGAGCAGTGGCGACAAAAGCGTGGAGGTGACAAGAAGGGCTTCCCCAGATGGGAGGAAGAGGAAAGAAGGAACCCCACACAAGGAAGACAGCAGGGAGGCTCATCCAGAAGAATGGCCCACTAAAAGGCCGAAAAGGAGTGATGCAGTACCTTGCACTTTATCAAGAGCACCTGAGGATGGACCAACTTCTCCCAGGAGCATGGAGGAGAGAAGTACTCCAGTTGAGCCACCACGGCGGCAGGGTACAAGAGTGCCTATGCCGTGTGAGCCGTCAAAGGTGTGTATGGAAGCCGACCTTCCGAGCGTAGCTGCGATGGTGAAGATCGAGTCAATGGAGCAGCTCCGAGGATCGCCACAATGGGGTGCAGCAGAAATACAGTTGTCATCATGTCAATGTCATGGGACACTGACGAGGCTCGTGTGAGCAACCCACGTAATCCGGCGCCTGGAGGTAAACCTCTAAGCGTGATGAAACAGATGAGCCAACAAGGGGCGGGGCAACAAGTTACCTCTTCGGACGAGTCCTCATCGGGGAGGAAGGAAGATGGCAACTCACCTAGAGGTTGCGAGTCAGCTACTTGCTGTCGGGGCTATCTGTAAGAATCTCTGAGGGAGGTTGCACTGAGGTAACAACCAAGGGAAGCAGAATTGTGCACGAACGCCGAGCATGACACTACGATGTAGTTTTTTTGAGGCCCCAGGCTGTAGCTGAAGATGCCGCTGAAGGCCGGCTGCCTACAAGGATCCGCAGGCTGATCAGGAATGAGCACGCCAGCGTGAGTGGAGTTGGACCGCCTATGTCTCAACAGGAGCTCGAGAGGAGCATGATCGGGAACATCTCCCGGATAACAGAAACGGAGACACGCAGCATTTACCAGGACGAGATGCTGGTGACAAGGACCAGATCGAGCGGGTCTTTCAAGTCGAGTTCACGGCAGGAGTTCGCTAGGAGAACACGGACAATGAACTCTAGGCAGGCAAATTGGAGACATATTTGCGCCTGTGGCCAGGAGCCATGTTACTCAAATTCTTATACAAGTGTTTAACAAACGTTTTGCATCTGAAGTTCCTGAATTAAAAGTTTATCTAAGACGTTTAAGATTTTTATAAAGATTGAAGCTGTGAGCAAGGGACAGTAATCGCCTTTGCAGATCCTTAGTTAATAAGTATGTGCCTTGAGCCTCAAAGAGATATGGCCTGTTGTTTTGTTTTTAAACAGTTAAGGCTTTGTTTCAAGTGTTTTTGCCTTATACATGCTAAACTTTATGATGTCGCCTACCCATGTCCTATATTATAGTCATAAGGGTGCCAAAGCTTGACATTGAAAGGACCAGGAGACTTAGGAGAAGAAAGTATTTGTTTGAGATTTAATTTAGAGATTTATGCATTGCTTTTATTTTGAGTGTCAGTTTTTAGGTCAGGGACTGACCAAACTTGGAGGGCGCCAATGTAACGCAATGCATAGCCCACTGGTGCGCTTTCAAGCGTTTGTTGCTTAGCAATGTTGTGCGCGCTGGCGTGTATATAAGCGACCGCGTGCTAAGAGTCGCTCTCTTCCTGCTGCGACAGTCACCGTGTTGAGTTGGAAAGCAACTTCCTGCTGCAGCTGCCACCAAGTGCGGTAAGGGGTTCTGATCAGAGATAAAGTGTACTTTTTAATCGTCCTGTCAATTACATTTATTTAAGTAGTCGCAGTAGGGGAGCCTCACAATTTGTGTGAGCTTGATTTGTGATTGTTAATAAATCCTGGCACCTATAATTTTGTGATCAGTGAATAGTCCCGCACGTAGGTGAAGCACTGTGCGCCTATAGGAGAATAAAGCATCAAAGCAAAGGGTAGGCACAAACTGGTGTCCGCCCCCCCATTTCTTCCCCGGTGGTCCCCCATCTGTTAGTCCCGTGTGGTGCGAGGGTGTGTGAGTGTGTTTTGGCAGTGGTGAGCTACGGGCCTGGCGGTAGACTTCCGCCAAAACGGATCTGCGTCTCAGGCCGTGGAGGTCAAGCCGCTCACCGCTATCGGTTGAGACCGACCAGGGCAGTCGTCAGAGGTTAGTACCGCTACAGTACAAAACATTCCAAAAATGCCTTATTGCTGCCTGCATCTTTTAGCTGGACAAGCGGGGCCAGTAATATCCTGGCAATACTTGTAGTTTTTTTGCTTGCAATTAAATACAAACTATCGATGTGACCAGGAAATAGAGAGAGAAAAATTCCTGACATTAGACCTACTTTTGCCATCATAAATAAATAAACTTTTCAAATTTTGACACACTGTTTCATTATCCATGCAAAGTTTGTAATTCTAGTCTCCTCCATCCAATATATATCAGTGTCAAAGACTTGGAACGAATTTGGCTAAGACTGGCCAACAAAATGTTCACTACTTCTGGAAAGCTTAGTTCATTAGCAACAAAATGCGCTATTTAATCACAAGGAGTGATCGTGAAATCTCATAAAATACGCCTTTGTACAAATGCCATAATAAACATGATTCAAACAAAACACAAAATCCTACAAACAACTTGGCTATTTATTCCTAAAAGAAGTCCAGAAGAAAGTGTTTGATAAGGGCAACAACTGCACATGAACACTTCGGGTATACAGCCTAAAAAAAGCAACTGCGCAAACACTACATTTGATGATGTTGTCGGTTCATATCAAGCACCAACGATGGTATGAATATTCAACTTCCTATACTGCAGTACACAACGTTTCAGGGATGCAGATTACCAACGAAAAATTGCGGCGACGATCATGTGGTACAAAGGGAGCTTATGGTTGCAAAACAGGTAGTCCGTAGCAGGCGTGCGCTGCGCTTTGGCTATGGACATACCGGGCATGCCAGAAAGTGGTAATCGGCCAGATGTTATAGTCTGGGCAGTTCAAACTCCTTCTGTGTCCTTCCTCCATGGTTTATTCAATGTCAGTGCTCAGTTATCCTTTATATACAACAGCAATTAATTATATACAAAATTATCCTCACGGGGAGGTAGTCCTACGTGGTCAACTGCACCACGAACGTGATTAATCAGCCTTATCCTTAACCACTACCTGCCGGGGACTCCGAAATCGGAGCCGTATGGTTTATATGTGTGGCTGGGGTCTCCGAACTCGGACAAAGGAAACAGGGCCCTGTAACAAAAAACCGAACTCCGAACAAAAGACCGGGCTGCTGGGCATTACCGCCATTTTTCACTCTCAAATGTGGTGATAATCCAGCGTTA